GCTGTACATGGATGGAATAAATTCCCTCTTGATAACAAATGCCCCCCACCTCTGAACACATTTAGAGCTAAACTGAAAACCTGTGCTTGTCTTTAGTTGAATTTCTGAGGAGTGTTTTTACCACTGTGTTGTATTAAATTCCTTTTCTGTCTAATTACACGTTTGAACTGTTTTTAAATGTTCAATTCACTTATTTAATATGACTGTCATGGGAACTTCTAATAAAATGAAAATGTAAAAAGTTCAAGTTATAATATATGTAATTGACAGGGTGTGAATCTAGTCCGATAAGATAATTTTGATCTCCCTCTCTTTAAAATGCATTTCAGGACTTACTTTGAAAAGATAATCCTATGTCCATCTATGGTGAAAAACAGACACTTGCAAAGAGTGAAGGTTTGATTCTTAACTTACTCTTAATGTTTATTTTGTGTGTCCATTTAGTTTCACAGTAAAGGGTGTCTATATTATCTTTTTTTTTTAATCATGACATTTCCTAAAATGATAAAATGCATTAGCTTGTTTAGAATGTAAAATCAGAGCTAACATTGACATAGCTGCTTCTAACTCTGCTGCTTACCTGGTTTAGTGTGGCAGGTCACTATCACAGCTTTGTCAAATAACATTTTTGTCTCTCCTTCCCACTTTGTGTTTCACACTCCGCGCATGCGTACGCTAGTCGTCTCTGTTCCATCCGCGCTATTGTTCTGTCAACGCAATGACTGCTGTGCACAATCTACGATGGGAGAAAGGCTTGGAAATTAGCCAAAATCCTAATGTGGGTGTGTAGTTTTAGAATACTTTAAGTGGTATGTCACACAATTTCGGATTAAAATTGTTTTACTTAAATCCGTTGACATTTTCAAACTGACGTTTGCAAACTATCTTAACTCGTTCGTGAAAGATATCGCGAGATTTACACTCCAGCAGCAGGTAGCAGATTGTGAGCTGCTCACTGCACAGGCATAACCACAACCCATGAGCAGGTGCAAGAAGTGGTGTTGTGGTCTCTCACACGCTTCAGACTAAATGAAAACCATATTTTTTATCTGGGCAGTGATCATAACGCTTGTTAGTGTGCTATAAAGTTAAACGATCGCTTGTCTGTTAAAATAAAGTAACTAACCTGGAAGTTTAATGGTATTCGTTCGTATTTTTTAAGTTTTGCTGGTTTGTATATCTTTTAAGCTTAATATTTTCTTTTTAGTGAATGTTTTGTTTTGATTAAAATGAACGGAGATACATTCAAAAACTTTGACCTCTACCCATAAACAGCAATGTTCAATTTCAGCATAAGAAATAGAGGATGGAAAAGTTGAATGTTTTTCTTTTCTTTTTAGCCTGAAGTAGTTTAACCAAATCTAACAGAAACATTTTAATGCAATATTAACCTTCCACACAAGATCAATAGACAACTCTGGTTTACATTGTTTTGTCAACTCTTTGCTCATAACCATTATTTGAATAATGAAAAACATTTTAATATGTACATACTCTCTCAGTTTTTAAGCATAAATGAATGTTATATATACAATACATGTTGTTTGTTTGTTCTTTTCATTTGAAATGGTGAACCTCAATATTCAAACCATTATGAAACCTCCTGGGAATTTATTCATGGACTAGATTAGGCTAGAAAAACACCCCTGGCTATAACTTTCTATGCCAAATAGGACTCTGGTCTTTAGCAAGTTGCACAATTCCTCAGTGTGCAAAGTCAGCTGCAAGAAATGGCCATTGTTTAGTATAGTTTGCACTGTAAATAACAGGACATGGATTTGCCATGTGCATCCTCTGTAGGGCATTTTGCTCCTTTGTCTTTGTTCGTTTTTGTGTGCTGCCTCATGACAGCTTTGTTTTAAAGACGTAATTATATGTTGTCTAATTATTTGTAGCTTCTAGTCATTTTTTTCAACTCGCCGATGGGATGGTTTGAATTTCTAGATTTTAAAATCTCACCAAAAGGTGGCAGCAGAAGAGGTAATTCACCATTAAGGAAATTAGGTACAAACACTGACTAAAGTGGGCTGTGTAGGAAAACTGGATTATGACATATTGCAACACTAAGAAATGAGTCAGGTTCAACCCGGTAAAGAAAACCACATGAAAGAACTCAAGACCAAGATACTTTTAAAACAGATTATTTTACCATCTAACTTGAGCACAACAGAGCCAAAATCTGTGATAAAGTGTCTCCTGAACATCTGTGAGATCCGGGTTTAACCAGTGGGACGTTGAGCTCAGATAAAGTCAAAAGTGTTGCAGTGTGTCGTGTGGCTACATCTGAGCAATTCTAAAGGGGAGGGGGAGAACTGCAGCAGAAAAACAGCAAAGTCTGCAGTCATTAATATGCAAATATGCAAATGAGAGGGTAATTAAGATTGGGCGTTTGTCAGTGGCTCTTTGATTGCTAATGAATTCCAAACTGCGAGAAAGGGGGAGGGTATAATGAGCTAAAAACAAGGAAAATAACTGGATGGTATGGTGCTTTTCTCTCTTTTTTGTTACGGGTAGAAACGTGTGGGCAGTCTATACAAAGTGAAAACCCTAACGGACAAAGGTCGATAGGATGATGAGAAAGATACAGAACCTTGTACTTTTGAAAATAAAAAAGAATGGTTTGCAGAATATGCTGAATGCATGAGCTGCACCAGTAAATGTCTCAACATATTAGCATGGGAGTTTGTGCCAATCCACATTATCGCTAAACATTTAGCACAGCGGGATAGACCTGCTCTGCTGCAGAAAGGTAGGAGCTTTTCTGCTCATTAACGGAGATGCCACTGACCCCTGTTGGGAGAGATGCTCGGGTATCATGGTGGGGGGATGTACAGAGGAAGCATGATGGGTTTCAGTTTTGTTTTTTTGTTTTTTTGGCAGAGTAACTCACAGTTCACACATGAGCACACACACTGCTGTTATTGCTGTTGCAGTGGTCCCTGGACACTTCTACATCTTCCTCTTTGGCATGTTAAATGCCAATATGAATACATGAAATAAAAACAAATTAAAGGTGAGGGATGGGGTAAAAACAGCTGTTCCTGTCACTGCACCGAGGTGATGACGTTTTTATGTTTCACTTGGCCCAAAACTGACAGCTTATACCTCAAGATTTATGTTACCTAATGAGAAAGACATAAGAAAAGGGTTTACTGGGCCTAAATAGTGGAAAAACATGGCAGCACATTATTTTCCGTAATCCACCCAAAAAAAAATATACAAAATTTGGAATGGGGTACAGAAAGCTGATCCCATGCCTGATTTTTGTGCTCTCTGACAAGATTTAGAGTATGAAGTGTGTTTGTGTTTTAAAGATAGAGGTAGAGGGGGGCTGATTGTTTTTTTTACAGGAAACAGGAAACAAGAAGTCATAACAGGATGCCCCAGGTTTTGATACTGTACCTGATGCGTGGGTGGCTGCTTGGGGGTAACCCATTTACAAAACCTTAAAGATTGTGTCTGAAAGACGAAAGAACCAAGAAAGGAGTGGGTGGTGAGGAGAGTACGCACTCTGGGGTTAGGAAAATGGAGTTCCACTCTAAGTATAGCTTCTTCTCTTTTTTTCTCTCTTCCAAGCTGTCATACAACCTTTCTGTTGTTGAACCCCAGTCTCATTTGTCCTACTTTTCAGAACAAGACAACAAAGCAAAAAACGTTTGATGTTTTGCATAAAGCAGTGATATGATCATTTCCATGCGAATATACGCACCACTAGTCAGCAGGTGTACTGTTGGAGCTTCATGCTGAATCTGTGACATGAAACTACTTTTATCATAATGAGGTTGATGTGCTCTCACTGACAGAATGCTTTTCACCACGTAAAAAAAAAAAATGTTTGAGCTGAGCTCTACCCTCAGAAAAATTCTTACATTTGCAAGGAAACATAGATTGCCTGTTATTGTGAACAAGTTAGCAGATTTGTTGTAATCTTTTAAAGAGAAAGAAAGAATTTAGAATTTTTTCTCCTGAATATAATAATTGTATGTTACGTGTCAGAATTTAGATACATGCCCCAAAGAATTGCATGATACCCACCCCATCTCTCTCTCAATCAGATACTCAGATACATTTGTTTGGTTTAGTGGCATTTGTGCATGTGCATGTTCTTAAACCACAAAGTGGATGAGTGAGTTTTCTCGTAAAGACCAGCACAGATGTTACCTTGTTTTTTTTTCACACCAGTTGAGGTTTTCTTAAGAAATTCTGAAAAAACAAAAGCTGACACGAATTGTAATCTAGACTACTTAACCACAGATATACATCTCTGGTCACACTAACATGCTGCTGTTCTCCTCCTTTTTATTATATATTTATTGAAGAATTCCATTTATTTCTGTCAGTTATGTGCTCATCGTGACAAATCCCTTTCTAAAGTGAAGATGCCTTTGTCCAACCTCAAATTTAAAGGTTAAACTGGTTGTCCACCAGTTTCACCAGTTCAGACATTTTGGAACATATTGCAGCATTTCATGTAAGCTGACAGAAAAACCTGAATTTATCTTGGCTAGTAGTGAATTTAAAATGTACATATGGCAACGTGAAATCATCTGGGCTTTTTTTCTTCAATGCAGTTTGAAATAATCTAACAAGAATGCAAATACGTGGTGACATCGTGTTTTTTTTTATTAGAAAAATAAACACGGACTTTTAGAAATACTGCACTTCCGACTTGGACGTATTTTGTAAGACATGGCGCATTACTTTATATTATCCTGTGTTATGTTATCTATTATCTTGTCTTGATATAACCGAAAACCAAGTAATCCCCCCATTACCACACGCGAGCGCGCGCGCGCGCGTACACTTGAACTCTTTTGCTGCCCGGGGACTGTTTGAGAGCAAATTAAAATGCTGCAAACCTCATTGGCAAGCAGGCCGCCCTAGAAGCTGACGCTGAAATACGTGCGGGCGGTTTGCACGTCAATCAAATCTTCCTGGGATCCAATTGGCCCTCCCTCCGATGTTATCGTTCCATCCTCTGCTGGTCGAGTTTGTTTGGCTTGTCGCCGTCCTCATCCGCAAGTCGACGTAGATCCTCGCAAATTGCAACTCAGGTCGTTTTTTTTAGACGGCCACAGCTGCCGAACATAGACATTTTGTGGTGGTTATCTATTCGTCGTATTAAATACACGAGGGGTCGAAACCTGCTTCGTTTGGTTTCTTCTTTGCAGCTGAAATTGGACACCACCGATGTTTGAGCGTTCATGTCCTCCTGGGCTGCGGAGTGATACTCTTTTGGAACCGACAATGTGGAGGCTGCTAAAATGTCTACTTGGGAAATAAAATGGTTACAGTTTCTATAACTATAAAGAAACAGTAACACGAGAGTTATGGTTGGTGCGGTAGACTTGCTTTCATCTTCGTGACGAAGACACCAACAAGACTAGGCAACGGAGAAGTGGTTCATGTCTCTCCTCCTCTTCATCAAGCCCACAGTCCGGACCACGGGAGAAGGATCCTATCCCTAACTTTGTTTTTCTCTCTTCTGCTGCCTTCTTTTCTCCCAGCTGGATGCCACGTTATTGAATACAGGTAAATATGACCAGTTTCATAGCAGGGATATTCACCACAATCACAAGTTCTTTGCTAACGTAGGCACCGGAGTAATAACGAAGTTTTAAATCCTGTGTTCAAGTTGTACGGAGTGCTAGAGCCGGGAAAAGCGGGGTCTTGGATTTTCGTCACTTCGGCCTGCCCGAGCTCGTAGTGTTATTACACAGCATTAGCAGTTTGTGTGTGATGGAAAAGACTTCTTTGTTCACTTCAATGGGCTGTAATGTTAAAGAACATTAGCATACTACCAGACTGAGTTATCTCCCCAGGGGTCTTGGTTTCTGTAGTGCTTGTAGGTAGGTTTTTATGTTTGAACGTTAGCCGAGCAACGTTAATAGACCTGCTTACTGCCTCTTTTATACCATTACTGCCCTCCTCTGCAATGTTAGTTTCTTTAATATCTTACTCAAATGGTACTTTTACCAATGCAGCATGAGCCACTGTAACATAGCCATGAACCAAAAGTTGTAGAAATACTACAATGTCTTTTCTCAAAAGTATAACTTCGATGCAGTTTGAACCCCCACCCTGTCTGTTACCGTTAACCGTTTGTGTTAGCTTCACGCTTTACTTTCTCAATCCCAGACAACGATAAACGCATTTTTATATATCGATGGTTTTAAAGACACGTTGACGTTTTTAAGGTTTATTTGCTTTTTTTTTGCACTCGGCTGAAACTTTATTGACCCGACTCTTTGTGTTCATCAGTGTCTCTTTATGCTGCTCGGTGTGAAGTCAGGCAACAGGTTTTCTGGTCCTTTTAAACGTCCCTTTGTATTTTAGCCAACCCTCGAGCGTTAAAAACTCGGGTTGTTGCAAACAGTTTGCCTCTCAGTTGACGCTTGAAAGAACGATATTGTTCAACGACTATTTCAGTAATTCTTTTTAACTTATTCCCCAAATGCGTAGGCCAAAAGGGGGTGGGGGTGGGGGGTTGCTCAAGACAACTTCCATTTGTTAGGAGGGGCTGTGAGCGCTTATCCCCCATTTTGACCTCAGCTCACAGAGGCACAAATTGCTAGACGATGTGCTGTCATCATATTACTCTTTGATGATTGATATATATATATATATATAGTATGTACATGTATATTTACCACATTTAACCAAACCCATTTTCTAGAATTGATCCTCATTTTGTCTAATGAAATTATTTAGATATTTACGTTCTGCGTTTGGAGTCACTTCGAGTTGTAAATGAAAAAAATGTTGACTCAATTTTTTCTCATCTGTACAAACCAGTTGGCACAATAACTGGAACATGGAACACCTACGTAGAGAGAGCTGCTCATAACTGTCTTCTTTTAAAACAGGGGATTGGCTGCGCAAAGTTTATTTGACTTTTTAGTTAGGTTAGACAGAATAATATATAATCTAATTGTTGAGAAAGTGCTGTCCAAGAGAGATTTGATGTTGGTTTCCATTCAGACAGCCTTTTCTGTCGCTTGTACTCCACTGATGGTTCATTGCAAAGAATTCTGCTGTTTTTCTGTTAACTGGTAATACCTTGTCTGTTTAAGAATTCAGCATGTTATGCTTACATTTATTGCAGAGTGGTTGGGAGTCAATTGGTTTTCGGGTGGAAGTAACTTGCAATGCCAAGGAGCTGACTAAGAGCAAATTTTGCATGGCCAATGAATGACCCATGGCTACCTGTTTCAGATGTTGACTACTCGTAGCTCTGGTTGTATTTTAGCTTTACAAAGGCTGTTCTATGGTATGCAAGACTGTAAGGTCAAGAGATCACTTCGGACCGCAAAGTGCTTAATAAAAAGCTAAATTACAGCCAATTGATGCTTACCCTGCCTCTGTTGTATGCAAGGGTCTGTGTGACGTACATTTTCTCAGACAAAGTCTATGAGATTTTCTCCATGGATTTGTGCCAATGTGGATCGCGCACTGTGAGTGGAAGTCCAGCTTTAAATGTACGTCCCTTTTTGATGAGAGGCATCAAGGGCTTTATTTTTATGCAAACACTGACTAATCATACTTTAAAGAGTTGGCCAACAAGAGTGTTCACAGGATTGAAGTAATTCTTTTGTATTTCTGCTTAATCTTAAACAGCAAGAGCTCATCCTATTCTCAGAAGATGTAATTTTTTCCCGACTGTGAATGTGGGTTTGTTAACACGACAAATTTACTCACACTGTAAATTGCTTAATAAATCAAGCTGCATGCGCCTCCAATCTGTGTATCTGTTACGGAAACCATGAATTAGGCATTCATGATGGTCAAGGTTACAAGGGGCACACCTCATTCCAGGTACCTAATTGAGTTTTATCACTCTCATTTTACACAAAGAGAATAACTTTTTAGTTATCTGCTTAATCAGTAAGGGAACTATTTATATTGTGTGAAAACAGCAGTAGCTTTATACTTTACAATACACTGACATCACCAGAATCCAACCATTGAAACATGATAATACATTGCTGGTCATACTTATGAATTGTCTTCCAAATGTCCAAATAAACTCGTGTTCTCCTTAATTCTGCTTTCAGTTGGTTGGATGCTGAAAGGGCCCAGTGATCAGCAGCAGAGAATGGCTGCAGTGGAAACAGACAAGGAGCTCAGTGACTTACTGGATTTTAGCGCGGTAAGATTTCTCTGAGGATTGTTTAGTATGATCCTTAATGCTTTTCAGTGGACATGGAAGTCCTCGACTATTGAAGCATGAATGAACGGTATCCATAGTTGATGAGCATTAGAAGGCTCAGTGTTTCTATCAGGTGACTGTTTCTGTTCTCTCTTTTACTTAAGAAGTCAAAAAGTCTGCGCTGGAAAGCTGGGATCCTCTCAGCATACAGTAGTTTTTGTTAAAAAGGACAAGATAGTTTCACTCATTTCAATCTTTCTATATTTAATTAGAAGGGTAAATCAAATGACTCTGTTGACTTCAGTTATTTAACAGATTTCTTTCTTCTTTTCAGATGTTTGAGCTTCCACTTTCAAATGGTAAAAACGGGCCAACAACTCTTGCCAGCAGTCAATTTGGAGGATCTGGTAAGAGAAGTCAAATTAAATTTCTCCTCTTATACTTTTCTGAAGCTGTTAAGAAAATGTGACCTTTTTTATGCATTTGCTTTTTCCCATGCTCCCTAGTGAATCTTCTCAAAAAGGCAGAAAGGGCCTTTTTCTAGTCTCACTACCCCTTTTTCATTCTCTAGTTTTTTTTAATGCTAGTAAGAAACATTTTCAAGTTCCTTTATTTTTAGTATTCATTTAGTTTCATATTGCAAATTACCGTAGAACTTCAGGAAATATTCCCAACTTCAGGAGATCTCATCTTCGCCTTCCAGGTGTCCCGTCCCTCACCTCAGCTGTTGCTGTTCAGTCATGTAAGAACAAAGACAGGGGGTGGGGGTTGGTGGGAACAACCCAATTAATCTCCTCTGCTTACTCTGTGGAAAAGACTATTCCCTTGTCCTGCATTCTCGCACCCTAGTTTCTTCCTCACCATTATTCATTTTCACCTAAAGCTGTTATTCGTCTTAGTCATCATCATCATTAATAAAGTACCATTCAATCAGATTTACCAGATCAACTCTGTAATCACTTTTAGGCATAAATGTAGATTACTGTAGAGACAAGAGTCTCCTATTAATCCAGATCAGACACTTTCCTTGCTTTTGATGTGTTTTGGTTTCTTTGTGATGTGTAATATATAGAAATTAATTTGCGTGTTCTTGCCAATTACAAAAGCCTTTCTGTGTACTTGTTTATTTTATAATTGCAGTAAGTCCTCTCGCAAGTAATAGAAAGAAACCTGATATTCAAAGGACAAGATGAAATCCTAGCATTCAATTGCTGGGTGGAGTTTAGGGGTGTCTGTTACATCTATATTCTGGAAAGTCACTTGCATTTTGATTACTTACAAAAGACATAAGTTGATGATATCTCACTAATACTTTTCATAAGGTGTTTTCAAACCACTGGAACCTTTTCATAGATCTTACCAACTATTGATGGAAGTTCCCCTTCTTTATTGTATCCTCACAGCAGGAGCTATAGCTTGTCATGGTTAGAGCTCCAAATCTATGGTCTTTTTTTAGTTTCTACCTCAGAGTTGGAGCTTTCTCAGCATGGGGGAAATATCTGTGTTATAACTGTAAGGTGTTTTGGTTGAATCTTTGCTTATAATAACATAACCCATCATCACAAAAAACTAATTTGTGAACACTGTTGTAGTGTTACCCATTGAAGAAACATTTAAGAAGACCTGTAGTTATGTCCAGAGTTTGTTGAAGCTGTACAAAATGATTGGGACTAGATGACTGAAAATACTAGAGAAAACCATTGACCATTCATCAAGTTTGTTACATAAGGATTGAAAAGGAGTTTATATATTTGCCATCATGCATATAAACTCTTCTTTCTTAAATTGCACATAAAAACAATTAATATTCATAAGAAATTGTCAGGGTTTACATTAATATAGTTTAGTTTTTCTTGATGAAAAGAAGTGGAAAGTAACTAGACAAGTAATGTTTGCTTTGATTCGCCATCTCACAGGAACCTGTACATACATAGCAGTCAGATTTATTTACTGTAAAAGCATAACATCTTACATCTTTTGCTTGTCAGACAGTCTTTTGAGTTTTCATATATATGACAATATTAGAACATTCACCCTAGCACAAAGTCATACCATCATTAGATAAAACTGCATAGATAAGAGTGGTGCTGCCTGTTAAACAAATAGCATATGTGGTTTGTTTCTAATCTCTGTACACACAGTCACGGCAGTGATAGAATCCTGTGTTTTTGTGTCTACAGGATTTGCTGTCATTTTCTTCGAAAAATCTCTTTGTCAAACTATGTTCTTTTCACAGCTTCTTTAAGTTGTCCTTTAAGAGTCAGTCATATGTCTATATGTTTTTCTATAATGGTGTGTACATGACTCCTGTGATAGTTTAACATGCAGCTGTGGCAAACCTTCCCCATTTCAATCTCTCGGTGATAGCCCTTTTTCTGTTTAGTTATTTTTTGATGCACTCTCATTTTTTGGTCACTAGAAACTGAAAATCCTAAAATGTATTTAGAAACTTAGGTATGAGGAGAAATGCAGAAGGGGGAAAATATCCAAATTTGCATGATAATTTTCAAACAGATGTGTGGCTGAAATTTCAAGTCACAGGATGATATGTAGACTGTCACTAGGTGATAATAAAAACTAAGATGTATGTCTAAGAGTGTTAGAATGAGTTGTTTTTGTTGAGAAGTCCCTGGTGACTCAGAGGTTAAAACAGCAGGCTTGTTATTGTATATTGTTCAGTATTTCATTTACAGTGTTCACGTTTGAGATTTTATCTGACATCAGTCTTTGTGTCTCTGTGAGTCACTTTCCCAAGGGAAGGAAGAAGTTGTGTAGACAAATGGTACACTCATGTAGTTGGCCTGGGGCAGTGTTCCTGTTAAAACTAAGACAAGTCTTAAAGTTTGGTCAATATATGTGGCTGGGATTTGCTCATGAGGCCTGTGACTCAGCCGTCTGTCTGTTTCCACTATCTCTTCCTGTGTAATTATAGACTAGCTATGCTTAAAGGGGTGTAGCATGCTGAGATGAGAGATGAATTGGGGTTCTCCAGAGACTTCGTCCGATGTTACTCACCCTTTTCTTCATTTTCTTTTTCCAGTTCCCATAGTCTGAATACTTGACTGCTTTTGCTTTTTTGTCTTTGTGTTGTTTGGCAATTCATTTAGTGCTACTTAAATTTGGTTGTTGTTTTTTCATCACAGGTATTTTTTCTAATCACTTTTTTAAGTAGCACTTTGGTAAGATAATTTCTAAAAATCATAATATTCTCTGAGTATGAGCAATGTGATCTGCCTCATTTGTTCAAGCAGTCTAAATGATTTCATGTGTAACATTACAATATGAAGTGTGCACACAACAAAAACTGCAGTAATTAAGGCAGTCGGATGCAGAGGGCTTGTGATGAGAAACAAAACACATAACAAAGAACAGAACTTAACAGAATCAACCAAACCCTGGCTGATATATCGAGGAAGAGGAAGGAAAGAAAAGGCGATTAAAGATATTTGGGATTTGTGAGGATGACCTCGTACCTTATTTTAATCTGGTTTACAACCATACAACATTCCCCAGAGATTAACATTTACGGCCACTCAAGCCTGGCTTTTAAACAGTCAATCTTAAATACAAAATTCCCAGTATACCAGCAGAAAATGTTTTTTTTTAACTCTAAAGTCTAATAATGACTATTGTAAACAGTAAATGTGCTATAAATCTCTTGATCATCACTTTCATAAGACCTTTCAAATTCCGATGTAGTAAAAAAAAATCTCAACTTTATTTAACACACTATGCACAGTATTTTCATGCTTTGTGCTGTTTTAAATACAAGATGTCAGTTATTGTGTGGTTAATTAAACAAGTTATTGATAGAGACCCCAAATAGTGAATGTCCTGGGTCTTCGTGAATGCACTAGGAAAAGTTCATTCAATTTGTCATAATGTTTTTGTGTCCAAATATAAATCTCTCAGCACTAAATTGAAGTGTTCTTGTTTGTTAGGTGCATGCTGATCACTTGAAAAAAAAAGTGCATTTTAAAAATCTGTTTTATTTGTTATTTTATCTTTGATTGAAATTGGAAACATAGACATAGATAAGGTACGAGGCATTGTCTTCATATCTTATTCTAGTGGTGTCGTGTGGATCACACTTGTCACTGCAATCTAGCAGCTTTCAGTGCTATGGACCCATCATTCTGTTCTACTGCTGATCTTGTCATGATTCTAGCTTCTCTCTACCCCCCACTCCTTCCCTTCTTTCCCATCAGCTTTTTAATTAGACAACAAAACAAAAATGTGAATATTCATAGGCTTAGCCTAATTAATATGCACAATTATGCAAATCAGAATGCAATTAAGCTTCAGCTTTTCCCCAGAGATGCTGTATTGCAGTATGAGTAGATGTAGAGAGAGGGGACAGGCAGGAATTTCTGTTTCACCAGTCATAAAAATCACTTCTCTCAAACAGCATTTCCTTTATTTTTTTTAAAGTTGCAGTGGTCAGGAATAACACACACAACACATGTGTGATTGGGACTGTTAGTCAAATGTACACTATAAGCCAAATGTGTCAGAACAAATGAGCTATGAATGACTGTTGCCATGGAAAATGTAAAGGAGTGGAGTGGGAGAATGAAGAATGTCGAGGATGATTCTGGAAGCCTCACACTGAGTGTTAATTATTCAAACTTCCTACAGCTCATATCCACACTATGTGACAGCACTGACACTATGCTGTCTCTGTGTGGGGTTACTTTGAGCAGCCTGAAAAACCTGTATCAAAGCAAGTCAGCAGAATTTGAAAATATCTTGCAAAACAAGGACATAAATCTCTGGTCTGAATATACGTAGCATTTACTGGCTGAAGGTCCTAACCCAGTTCTTTGCCTTCCAGGTATTGAGGAGCGGAATGGGTCCAGTCCCTGGGGTCCAGGAAAACAGCCAAGTCCATCCTTTAACCAGGGGCGGGTAAGATATGTTCTAAGTAATGACACTTAACTCAGCCATGTAAGTGTTAGGTCATGTGTCTGCATGATTACACAATTTACACTCCTTTAACTCACACAGAGGCGTTCTACATTTGACCTCAGTACCACAGTCACAGGAAAATGCCACATTATTACCTAGTTTCTTATATTTTGTTTTACATATTAACCCCAGAGCTCAAGCCCATTTTTTAGGAACTTAACAAAAAAGAAACTTGACATTCTAAAAATCTGCAGAAAAACTATCTCACTCCCACAAGAACATATTGATTTAGCCAACATATGTATATAGTTGGGAATATGTTTTTATTGTGACCTTTGTTGCATTTGTTTTCAGCTAAGCTATATTCTCTAAGAAATGTCTGACTACCATTTGAGAGAATACATACACAAAATGATTACCTATAAAAATCAGTTCTGCCATTTTTTGTTAATTCCATCTTTCCTTCAGGGTTATGGTGAAGAAGGCATGTACAGTGAGCGAGAGGGCCCTGCGTCTGCCCCTGTTTTTGGACCAGGAATTGTTGGTAAGAGGGCATGAACTAAATTAAGTTATTGAATCTTAGAGATCACAATTTTCACATCTTCTGTCTTAGTAAACCAAAGTGGAAGAGGGAAATTTGGAACAGTATTGAACTAAATAGAGTAAGAACATGTCGATTGAAACACAATGACATTAACGAACAATGTGACTGAATCAGAATACAGAGGTTTGTCAGAGAAGGCAGGTATTCACAAGTTGGATACTGATATACCATGTTAGGGCAAAGCATATTTATGGATCCAGGGAGTAAAGCAATCAGGAAGAATGTGGAGGAAGGGTTAGTTTGTTTGTTCAGAATGGGGGGTGTAAAGGGCACCCATGCATAACCATGGGCCTCCCTGGGGACTACAGGGGACTATAGCTCTTGTCTTTTTAACTGCTATTGAAGGGAGCAGAGGATGGAGACATTTGCCCCATAAGCACTTGTTTCATATTTGTTGTCCAAATTTCACACATCATACTCATTCACTGAGGAGATGAGTAGAACAAAGTGCAATGACAAGATTGTGGTTTATTTTTTACATAAAATCCCTATTTTCATGAACCCTAAAAATTTGTATTCTTTCCTCCTTCTTTCCCCTTTACAGGGAAGGCTGACCGAGGGGCGTATTCTTCATTTGGAACACAGGTAAATCACTATGAGAGGCACATTTTTGTCTTTCAGGAATTTATGTGGTTTCCACTGACCTCTGCTGTTTCCCCCTGACATTGACCCCCCTCCCACCCCTCACACACACACACAAAGCCGGGTTTCATTCCAAATGAGATGACCATGCCCAGTCCTGATGCCCTTTCCCCATCAGCTGTTAAGTCCAGTTCCCAGTTTTATTCATCCTACAAGGGCGGCAACCCCCACAGGAGACCATCTCAGGACCCCATCGGTGAGACTGCCAACACTGACTCTGTCACAGCATGAAACACTGATTTTAGTTTTGCAGGAAATCTTTCCTCTGATTTATATTTACGTGTGTATCATCACTTCCCCTGTTAAGTTTAAAAAAAGCTTTGACCATTTTCACTTCTTTTTATTATGGGAGCGTGAATTGTGGTTCTACATAACTTTTGATGGATAAAAGTAGCCTCCGTCTATGATGTAGTTAGTTTATTAGAAATCTTCTTTGTAAGCATTTCTTTGTAAGCAAAAAAGGTGTTATCCCTCTGTCCCCTTTCCTGCAGAATCGCTGCCAAAAAAGATCAGGAAGATGCCTCCTGGCTTGCCCTCCTCTGTAAGTATTAACATCCAGAACATTTTCAGTCGGACACTGTATCTCAGCCCTTGCATTCATTCCATAAGACCCATGTTTTTCTGCTTTACGCCCCTTTCACATTCCATTTGGCATCTAAAGCCCTTCCTTGGCTTGGAGAGCAGTATAATAGCTGCAATACATGCCTTCCAGGTCTTACAGCTGTGCATCTGCACCACCAAAGTAAAAAATGAGCAGGGTGGAAAAACCACTCATTCACCCAGTCAGTCATTTGCAGCATGTATTTATAGTGTGTTGTATTGGTGAGCCCTTTGCTTCGTACCCACATTTCTTTTCCCCTGCCAAGTATACTCATCAAAAAACCAAGGAGAATATATTGTGGGGTTTGATGGTACTCACTCCGCCCTATTTTTTCCTCCCACTCTCACTCTCTGGACACCCCATTTCCTCATTTTCTCTACCCCCCACCCCATCTCACACCACCTCCCTTTCTCCTCCTCTCCTCCACCATAAACAACAGCCCTCCCCTTTCTCCCGCTCCCTCCCCCATTTCTCTATCCCAGCTGCCAGCGGAGTTGGCTGCCATCCAGGATACGGCAGATGGTTCAGTAATTAGGAGTGCATCTCTCCCTTCCCTCTTCTCCTCTCCCCTCTCGTTCCTTTTCTTTTTCTCTGTTTAATCAAATTACAGAAAAAAAACTTCAATACATTTGGGTTTGAGTTTCTCAGAGTTTGATTCTTGACTTTCATCCTGAATAGTCTTGATTGAGCAAGAGGTGACTCAAAACACAGGTTCCTTTATACCCATTTTAACACACAGCTTAAATTCTATATCAACCCATTACTTTGTTAAACAGAGGGAATTATGAATCTGTAAGCCATTCTCAGAATGTCTAAATGTAACACGTTAATATGTTCAAATCTCACAGAAAATTGTAAAAGAGGCCCAAGAAAGCTCCTCCAGTGAACATTGAATACACAAGGATCTGAGCCCAAGTCAGAGCAAATTATGTGATGGTCTGCTTATTCAATTAAGTTGTAAAACCAGATAGTAAAAATAGATTCCAGCCATGAAGTGGAACTCAGCTCTTCAGAACTGTGTTCAGCTGGGTATTTAATGCATAGACAGCACTTATTTTGTTTTCGGTTATCAAACTAAGTTCTTCATTTAACAAAAGATGCTTGCTTCATTTTGTGTGTAGGTTTATGCATCAACCACAGGAGAGGATTTTAATCGGGACAGTTCTTGCTATCCAGCCCCCAAAGCAGGAAATGTCTACCCACCACCATTCTACATGCAAGGTCAGTTGAAACAATATTTTCTTTCAGCCTCCCACTATTTCTTTGTTTTTATTTGAAAAGTGGTGCCTGACAAAGAGAGTATTATCTGGAATTTTCCTAGGAAGCCTGTGTGGCTGGGAAGTAGTTTCATGACTATATTATGTTCAGATGTAGCATCGGTGTTGTAATTGTCGCTGACCCCCCTGTGGTGCTGTGGTGTTGATCGGTGAATCAAGGCTGAATGAAGTCATCACAGTAATTTGACAGGTCTCATATGTGGCCTTCATTGTCCTCTCTTCTCCTGGGGCTGGTTATCCATAACCTTTACTGTTTCCCTCTCCTCCGCTGGATGCCCCCTCACAGAAGGCCTCCACCCTCCCTCTGATCACTGGGGCTCTGCTGGGTCGATGGTTCAGCCTGGATTTTCTGCCGTGCTAGGCAACTCCCCCCATCTGAGCCAGCATGGCCCATTTACTGCTATTAACCCACAAGACAGACTGGTGAGTTCTGCCTTTCCACCGGACATGAGTTTAAAGTCAAAATACTTTCTTACCGATGAATTTTGAGGGGTTCTGCCTGGTTTATTTTTCCAACCGCTGTGTTTTTGTTTTCCTCCAAGAAACAACGAGCCCTACCCCTTTCCCCCCAAAACTACCCCCTGCATGGCAGTGAAGTGAACGGAGCTCATCCTGCTGGCTTCCACTCTGGCTCCACCAGCTTTGGTGTCCCCAGCCACACACCCCCCATAGCTGGCACTGAAACTATTATGGGTAAAGCCTTTATGTGTGTTCTTTATGCAGTTAGTGGGCTATGCTGTTTATGCTTCCCTGTGATGGGAGATGGCTAAACTGTCCATTTGATTGACATTTTTTACATTTCTTTTATTTGTCAGCAAATCGAGGTGCTGTACCTGGAAGTTCTGGTGATGAAATTGGAAAAGCCCTAGCATCTGTAAGTAATCATAAATATATTGTATTTGAAAATGTATTTATTTATTTTCCATCCATGGCTATAATGTTTCTTTTTCAAGAGTAATACATGTCAAGTTATGCTTCATTAGATTAACAATTATAAAACTTGCCTCCAGATTTATCCATCAGACCCCAACAGCAACACTTTCCCTCTGTCTCCATCCACTCCCTCTGGCTCTCCTCAGGCTGTATCAGGTAAGCAAATAACTGTTCCTATTTTTCCTGAGATATTCAGGTGGCTGTTTTGTAGTAAAGTTTATTTAACTCTGAACCTGTCCAGCATTTGGCTCAGAGTAAAAAATAATTTGATTGAAAACATTCTGTTTTTATTTTCATCCCTGGCTGACCCAATGATAATTTAGTTCTATTTATTGGTGGGAGGACTACATAATGCTGAAATAAATTTGTTATAGTGTTAACTCTATCTATGTAAATGTATGTGTTTATCAGCATTATCCATGAAGTGAATCACTTACAGTATTTTAAACCATGTACGAGTTGGGGAACCCCATCCACAGTGCGACCGGCACATGTTTTCAGATACACTTACAAAGAACACCCTAATATAACTTATGATAGAGAAAAGAAAAATACAGAAAAAATAAAAAGAAGGTGGGTTCACTTCCCCATTTGTCTTCACATTTAGTCCTTTGCGTGAGCACCTCACACTCCATCCATACATGAATATACCATACATGTCTGTGTGAAATTGATTGAGATTTATACTTGGGTCAGAATTTTACAGCACTTTTATTTACACGTTTGCTGTTTAGAAGCAGGGTAAAGATGCTAAAATTATATATAGAAATATCTATATTTTTTATTTAAAAAGATTTACAGTTAATATTCTTTTAAATAAACTGAGTATAAAACAGCAGACAAATGAAATAATGTCAATGTGATAATCATGGTCCCCAGTTTGCTTTCAACAGTTCCAATCCTCACACTATGCAGTTTTTCAAAGTATTTGTACCTTCAAGTATCATTTGAGGCTTCTTGGAATTTGTCAAACTCGTTCTCATCCATGATGAAAGCATCACAGTAATGTGGGTTCTGTATCATCTGTACCAGGGGCCCCTTCTCTTTTGGTCACTGAGGAAATAGTTCTCCCTTCTGGTGTGGAGAATGTTTTCATGTTGTATAATTAATGGCAGGGTGGCACCAAATCCACCATTTCTCTCACAGAAAGGCAGCACATGGAGCTGCTCACTGACACTCATTCCTGTAGCACATTCGGCTTGTAGCGGGCCTTTGTTAAAGCTAGGTATTGGTATTTGAATTTTTGCCCTATCGGCCCAGAGCACCTGCTGTCAGCTTGGCTTTGCTTGCACGTCAGAGGAAGGGCTTTTTTCTTGTCTGTAAGGACCACTTCTGAACAGACTGGAGGTGGGTGTAGCAGGGGCTTAATGCAGTCTGTCAGCTGTGAGCTCATAGCAGTGCACTATATTGTTGGATTTTGAATTTATTTAAGTTTAATGTACTTCTACACTCATTTTTGGGGCTGGCCCTGCAGCCCTCAACTTGCCTCTTTTTTCATGATTCTACAGAAGAGCTTGGAAAGCACATCTGGAAACATCTAGCACAAACTTGCTGCCTGTAACAGGCCTTCTTGTTTCATGTTCTCTATATTTATTCACAGTAGAGTATAAGAATTTCTGATTGAATGGACACCCAATATAAAACTCCAATCACACCAGCTGTTTGACAACATATGTGTTAATGCTGCTGCTCATTAGCACATGTTTGGTGTTGTGCTGAGTTGTTTGCGAGACGTTTCTTCTCTTTCATTTGGTACTTGTTTTTTATGACAAAGGATTGCATTTCTGTGGACAACCGCTTTAGAAAAACATAAATGAGTAAACTACTGTAACTAAAAGTCTGTTCTGCAGTGTACGTCAGAACAAAATGACAAAACCTGACAAATATCCAGTGTCTTAACAAATCTTTCTGCCCAGGACTGTCCTCAGTGTCAAAGTGTGTCCTTATATTTGATCATCTTTGATTTTTCAACACATTTGTCATGTAAAGTATTTTCATTTCCAAGGGTTTATAAGAAAAAGGTTGTTTGTGACAGAATCATTCACCAGCAAGCTGCATCTCAAATTAACACAGTTGTTCATTAATCTGCCTTTTTTGATTAATATAAAAAGCTGATCATTACCGTCTTGCTCATTAGCCTTGTGAGTATTTTTTCTAATTTATCCGGTTAGCTGAATCCATCTATCCTTTTTTCCAAAGGCTCAGCCTCCCAGTGGACTCGGTCCTCAGGTCAGGCCACTCCTTCGCCTAACTTTGAGGGTGGTGTTCAGTCAGTGGTGAGTCATTTTCTTTAAAGCCAGAGTCACATAATAACTTATGCATTCACATAACTCTTCTTTCATGGTGGTTTGTGCTCTGTAGCCAAGTAAAATGGAGGACCACCTGGATGAAGCTATTAATGTTCTTCAGCGACATGCCAGTGGGCAGGGAGGACCAGGACTTGCTGAGATGCACAGTCTTCTGTCGGCTGGCTTAGGGTTGCCAATGGGCTTCAGTAGTTCAGCACTTGGATTGGCCAGTCGCCTTCCTGGACTGGTGAGATTTATGATTAATGTCAGAAAACTGTGCCCAAAAGACTGCATTAGGTTGGATTATAACATACTAAGTCATTTTCTCAAACATGCTAAACAGAAATGTTTACAGTTGTATACTTGTTCAGATTTTCATGCCTGCTCCAATATGAATTGCTATTTGAAGGTCTCCTCCCTTCACGAGGACTCTGCTGGTCTGCCCTCTACTGGAGGACTTTTGCATCATGGCCCTTCATCTGGTCACCCTCAGACAGAGGGATTTACAGGTGACGCCTTGTTTTCTTCTTGTTCGTTTTGTTGTTATTTTTTCACCTACAGTGAATGGAAATACTTTGCCAAGTTTAAATGCCACTTTATTTCTGAACTCTTGAATGTAGGCTTGCGGGTGAACCTGAATCGTTCCAGTGGTGCTGCAATCAAACGAGAGCAGAGGGAGGAGGATGAGAACTGCTCCCTCACTGACAAATCGGAGGACGAAAAAAAAGAAGCCCGTCTTCGAACAAGGTGTCCAAAAATGCTTTTCTTTTCTTTTAATTTTAATTTATTATTTTTATTATTATTTTATTTATTTATTTTTTTAAAAAGCTTGAAGTAAGTATTTTGTGTATAAGTATGCAGGATCCATGCATATCCATTAATGAGTCCTCTATTTAGACTGCCATATCCTGGATTTGTGAAACTACATCTTGTAGCTTTTTGTTTTCTCTAAACAAAGAAGGAGGTTCACCAAACACACACAAACGACAGTATTAGCCTAAATGTTATCACCACATTAAATGGAGTAATAGATCCATGAGTGTAGCTTTCATTTCTCAGTCAATAGTAAATGGCAAAGAGGAAATTAATGGAGAAAGTGACATTTGAGCTGAGTATTACAAATATAATAGTTGCAGGTCTTTTTTCTAATGCAGACATGGTTTAATATGAATCCATAGAGACTCTGCCTCACCCAAACTTTCATCATCTGATTCTTAAGATGTGGTTTAAATGCCACCAGAGAATGGAGACTTTGAGCTGCTGATTTCAGTTCCTGTGTTTGCCGGGTTGTTTATAACTGGCTGTCATCGTAAAAGCCCTATGTTTGTGTGTATGTGTGTCCGTCACCACATTGTAGTAGAGGGCTGATGTTTTTTAGGCAACTGGGACACTCATACAAGTGAACTATACCATTACTGTTGTTTCCTTTCCTCCTCATTTGCCATGGACTCTTCACTAGTCTGAATGATGAGGATGAGGATGAGGATGATGATGATGAAGATCTGCCTGTGGAGATTAAGGCTGAGCGGGAGAAAGTGCGGAGGTTGGCAAACAACGCACGTGAACGTCTACGCGTGCGGGACATCAATGAAGCTTTTAAGGAGCTGGGCCGCATGTGTCAGCTCCATCTGAGCTATGAGAAACCACAAACCAAATTAAACGTACTGCAACAGGCCGTTAACATTATACTCAACCTGGAGCAACAAGTTCGAGGTCAGTGGGTGTCCAGGGAGGAAGGAAGTGGAGGGGAATGGCCTCTTTACAAAGTAAAACTCCCACACAGCTTTGTTCCCGCCTTCGTCACTTCCAGCTATTCTGACATTCAGTCCGCATGGATGACTGATGTATGTTTTTATGTTCAAACATTAAGACAGATGTTATATCTGTGTACTTTATACAACTAACTTCAGCTTGGGACTGAAGAGGTATTTTGGATGAGAGATGAAACGTTCAGTTGCTCTTATTCAAGGTCTTTGACCCATTTCAAGCTATCTGTTTTTTGTAGTCCGTTCTAAAAAGGCTTATGAAGTGAGCACGTAACAATAGGGTACGAAACTGTGTGGTAGTTTTAAGGCGTGCCCATTTTTTAGTTCACCCTAAATGTTTTCATTGTCCGGGACAGGTCTGCCTCTCTTCCAGCTTGCTGCGTGTGTCCATTATAAATATGCCTAACATGTCTGTCTGCCTCATCTCTGAGCTTCATAAGCAGCTTTTTGTGGAGTCAGCATTTTATGCTTTTTCAGTCCCTTCTTGTGCATTTACAAAAAATTGAATTTTATTCCAGTCACATTTTTGTAGCATTTTCATGGCTTTGATGTGACTTTATGATATACTTGTGAGCATGAAAATAGAGCTATTTTTTGTGTCTTAACTTCCCTCTAATGTTGTTATAGTTCTTTGTCCTACACATTTCTGCCATTCAAGATGAACCCTCTCATTTTCCTGCCCTGTTTTCCAAAATTCCTCTCCATTTATCCTTGCCATTTACTTCCCCATCCTAATCTCCTTTTGCAGATGTCGTCGGAGATCTACCCTTCGCATTCAGAAAAATACATCTGCTGATGTATTTAATGTTACACCTGTCAGTCTCTCACATTACCTTTTCTCTGTGACTCTTTCTATTCGCTGCATTTGGCAGAGGGTGTTGCTTCTGCTCTCCCCAATAACTTCTCTTATTCTGATGGATAGACATTCATTATATCCCCTCAACTTCCATCCTGGACCCAGTTGACCAAAAGCTATTCCTGGAGGCCATTAAGATTCAGTTATACGCTTTCTTTTTTTAACGATTGAGAACACTTCCTTACATAGAAAAAGAATCATTACGATTTTTATTTAACAATTTAGCACTCTCCTGGAACACAGTCCTGCTCCGCTGAGATCTTCTTTATCAACTCCGTTGCTCTCGTATTTTGCACATAGCTCAAAGGAAAATTAAATCAAATGTGTCCCAGAGCTAAAATCCTGACAGGGTGAAGAGCTTGGTAAAACGCACTATTATAGCTTCAAAGTGCAGAGTTTGTCAGAACAAGAATAGGTTGAGGGAGGGTTGTGATTTGGGTTAGTTAACCAGCCCCTCCAACCCCCACTTCTCCTTCATGCTGCAGCCTTGTCTCGGTGACTGATGAGAACCTGACTGCTGAGGAGAAGGAGCAGAGGGAGCGTGAGCGCCGCCTAGCTAACAACGCTAGGGAGAGAGTGCGTGTTCGCGACATAAACGAAGCCTTCAGAGAGCTGGGCAGGATGTGTCAGGTCCACCTGCAGAGCGACAAGGCCCAGACCAAGCTGGTCATCCTGCAGCAGGCTGTGCAGGTGATTCTGAGCCTGGAGAAGCAGGTGCGAGGTAGGTCAGCCAGTACAAGATGGTCTGATCCCCATAAGACAAGCAGCCATTTGTTAAGCTGACAGTGATTCAGCTACTGGAAAATCCTTTCTTTTCCTCTGTTCCCACTGTGTAGCATCCGTTGTGGCTCTTTCGCTTAAAACTTAGAAAATGGAGAAGAAAAGGAGAAAGTTTTTGGAAGTATATCCCCGCTTTTCTGCCAAGCACTTGCATTCGTCACCATACTTTTCACTGTCCTTTCTGCTTTGTCTTTTTTCTTTGATCCCTCTTTGAAAGTGTTCTGTATGTTTACATTTCTTAAAGTTTTATGGTCTCTTTGGGTCTTAAGTTAGCATACTTGCTCATTGGTGTTCCTCATCATTTTCTCTTTTCTTAAGAGCGTAATTTGAACCCAAAGGCCGCCTGCCTCAAGAGGAGAGAGGAAGAGAAGGTTTCAGGTGTGGACCCCCAGATGCAGATTGGAGGGGGTCACCCTGCTTTAGGAGGAGATGGGCACAACCCTGTGAGCCATATGTAACTCTCAGGTCAGTCTGCACAGCGTGTTCAGCGAGTTTTGGATTAACTTGTGATATAACGACTGTTTTTAATACTCTCTCTATATTTAATCTATTTTGTTGTGAAATATTAATGAGTTGTTCTCCCTTTTCTTTCCAGTTCATGTTGAATGTACTGCCCTTTGAACACGTGGCCTTATCTATCATTGTCATGCATCTCAATGTGTGTCATCAGCTTTTGGAAAACATGCGCACACCTCATTACTGACAAAGCAGGTGGCCACATTCCTGAAGACAAATACAAGCATAAGAAGCACACAAGATTCAAAAAGAGAAGGAAGATTTATTGATCTTTACATGATAATGCCTTGACCTGAGGACACTGCTTTTGGAGACAGTGACATGGGGATTATTATTATCATGTTTTTGTTGAACTTTGTAAGAATTGCTTTACAAGTTTGGGAGCAAAACCTGTTTGGATCAAATAAGACTTTTGGATCAATTGCTCATGTGAGTAAAGTTAGGATTTATAGTGTTGGATAGTTATTGGCATTCCCATCAGAAACAGAAGTCTTACATTCTTCACAACTAAGAGGGATGATTTATGTCCCAGGATTGAACAAATTTGATTTAATCATGCCTTAATGGGCCTCATGCATTGTGCGTGGTTCGATAAAAATCTAAATCCTCTCAAGTGATGACTGATATGCAGACTTTGGAGGCGAATTACAAGTTACAATTGGCCATTCAGAAAACAGACTTCTTTATTTGAAATGCTGGTATTTCAGGCTGTTTTTCTTGAATTTATTTCAGAGGTTCGTCTTTGGCTAGTCTGAAAACTGTGGATGCCAAAGTTTTATCTCTTAATGTCTTGTACATCTGTTATTGTCACTGCCATGCAAGTGGAATGGAACGACTGCCAGAGAGGCCTCCACATTTCTCAACAAAAGACTCCGCAGGACCCACAGTTAAAAGGCCAGCTTTCTTTCTCCAAGGCTGCAGTTTGGTTCCCGTATTCTTGCTTCACCGTTATTATGAAGTCAGTCCCTCTCAGCCACATGGTTACTGCACCCCTCCCGACTCATACTGCCAGCGTCACGCATGAGGAGCTTGTCACAATGTGGTGGAAATACCGACCAAGAAACTTGTACTCAGACAAATAACATTTTGCTTGTTGATAAATTAAGTATTGAAAGGGATCATGAGTGTTACTGCTACCTTTCCTTTTTTGCCATTGACTTATTGTTCTGGTTGCTCTGTTGAGCGTTTGGTGTCTTTGCCCCCCCCCTTTTTTTCTCCCCCTTCTGTTGAAGAATTGTGGAGCCTGTTATAAGGATCTTCCTTTTGTAGAATTGATATATCATTGTTTTTTTATTTTGTTTTTTACTTTGTAACATAGTTCTAAAAGTTTGTTTTGTATCATTTGGACTGTGTTTTCTTTGTTTACATTATTTTAATGTACGGCAAAGCTATTTAGATTCCAGGAACAAACTGAGGTGTTTATTTTGGTGCCAGTTGCTTTAAAAATGTTAGAAATGACTAAATGATCTGGCTGTAACATCACATGTTGTGATATGGGTCTATTTTTTTCTATCACCATTTGAAGATAAATATGTTAGGCCAGTTGTAATTGGATTATTCTGGTGTGTGGGACACTTTTACTGAAGAAAGAAATACATACAAAAGCACACATTTGTTTAGTGCAACCCCTCCCCCTTCCCTGACATCTGGCTTATCATTGAGCTTGTTTATTAGTTTGAGGAATGGGCAGAAGGGGCCCCAAATTTTTTCTTGTCATTATGATATGAAGCATGGAATTAATAAAAAAAAATGGGTGGCCTTAGTCATTTACATGACTTTGGAGATTTAGCTAATGGTTACTCACTAGTGCCTGAATACATCTCTGTTACATAAAGAAGGATATTGCATTTAAATGATTTATGGCTTATACCTTTTTGTAAAACAGATGTACAAAGACATGAATATTTCAGTAACATCAGTCAAAGAAGAACGACACTTTATGCGTAAATTGTGAGTGTATGTGTCATGAAACTTAAGCTGGACATGGTCTTTAATATAAAGGAAGAACATTTTACTTAAACCATCTCACCTTCCCATTTTGTGATGTAAGTTTGTCCTGGATTTACGTGTGCATTGAAGGATGCATGAAGCGGATACTGATATCAGTAGCAGTATTTGTTTTTTTAAGAGAAATCCCCCACCCCCAAATGTGACCCAGCTCTAAATGAATTGATGTGGATAATTTCCCATGAAGACTTGCTTCTGTACATCAAATATATTTCAGCAGTAACCTGCTCTCAAAAATTACACCTGTTTTTTTTATTTTATTGTTTGAGATAATTTTTTCTCTCTGTTTAAAAATGACATGCTACAACTCTGTTTTATCTAATGCTTGGGGACAATATCTATGTAGACTGTCCTCAAAGTGCCTCCAGTTTCCTATTTTTGTTTTGTTTTTTATATATAAAGTAGATATTGAAAACTTTTGTGTATATAACAGTACTGTAGCAATAAATGTGCCATTTTGAAGAAGATGCTTGTTTTAGTGTTTTTTCCTTTTAATTAAAAGCATTCGATTTCCATGTGATTCCTCTGAAATCTGTAATATGATGTGGACTTTTATTTTCTTAATAATCGGAAGTGATTGCTGTTCATGCGCACTATGCATACAAAACAAATGAGACACGGAAGTTCTTCTCAGCTCTCCAAGCAGCGCGTCCTGCGTAAGAAGGGCATCTTTAGGCCAAAATGATCAGCAAAGTGATCGGTCAGAAGTATGCAGCCATCGTCAAATCATGGTAAGATACATATTATTTCGTTGTAAGTGGTAAAAACGAAGGGAAATTAAATTTTCGGAGATTAAATCCTTCTCGTGACGTTGCTTAACATTAGCTGCTAGCCTAGTCGAGGTCATAGCTGTGGGGACATGTTGACTTTAACCTCTTTGCCAAACTCGGCTTAAAAAATACCACATCTGTGTATTTTACTATGTATCCGTTTCCGTTCTTTTTCAAATGTTTTCCATAACAGGTTAAGATGATTTTTTCCCCATTTTACTATTACTCGCTGTCATTTTTTACTTAAGCTAAATAGCTAAATGGTTTTACAATAGATGAGCAATACGCTATTAAAACGTGGTCGATTCACTGCCTTATTAAACAAAAACAAAAGTATCACCTGTTCTCACAGCTGTTTTTTTCTAATATACCACAATTGTCAAAGGTTTATTTGCTCTGCTATTCTCAGACTGTTATGAAAAGGAGTCCATCTCTAACTAAACGCTTTCTCTCCTCCACAGGGTCCCTACTCTGGCCATATGGGGTACGACTGGTGGCGTAGCTCTGGTCTACTTCACAGACTGGCGGTTGATTTTGGATTACGTTCCTTACATCAGTGGCAAATTTAAGAAGGATGAATAGTGGCTGTCAGGTAAGTTAGTAGGTTTTCCCTCATACACACTGACATTTTTTTTTCTAGCTCAGCAATATCCAAAATAACTCTCCTCTCAGTGCTTATGTGATTTTAGGGAAAGTCAGTGCCTCACAAAGGTATAAGGAGAAGAAAAAGACAAGGCCTGTGGTGAATTATCATCTCCTAACATGCCAGCCTGACCGGCTTTGAACACTGACATTACACATGAAGACTTTTGTTTATTGTATACTTTTGTTTAATTCATAAACCAATTCTCATATTGTTACTGTTTAGTCCAGCCGTTCACCTCCCACAGGATTTAGGACTCTGATGATGATGATGATGATGATGATGATGATGATGATGATTAAATGCATTTGATCAAGTTTTTAAAAATTGATGTTTTGGCTGTTTGCTGCTCTGGAGTATCCAGAGTGTGTGTGCTGATGTAAGAGAAAAGACTTTCGCAATAATCCAGGACTGTTGCTATCAGTCTGGAACAGTTATCAGTTAATTTCCAACAATTTAAGCTCTTTTGTTCAACAGAAAAAGAGATTTGTCAAAGGTGTTAAACATTTAAGACCGTTGACAGTGTCAAAATATCTTTATATAATCTCTGTATGTCTCATTTGAAATGCCATTGATTTAATTAATGTAATAAACAGATTATTTTTATTTTCTGATATACAACTTTCAGATTCACCGAGCGGGCTTTGTTTATTACAGAAGGATACGTTCATAGCACAGTTTTTAAAAATAATTTTCTTCATATATAAAGTGCAATGACTGTATTTTTCTTTTTCTCTCAGGTTGGTGTGTTTTTTTTTGTTTGTTAGTTTGTTTTTAATACAAAGACCTACACAGTGAACATGTACCACTGCAGCCCACATCGTGTCCTTTGGTCCCACTGCCTGGGAGGACGCTGGGGGCCATTGTCTTCAATGGAACTCAGTAAACATTGATCTGTTCTTCAACATACGCTGAAACACACTGCGGTTTGGCACTTCATCTGCTTCTGCCAACGAAGACTTGATTGGAAGAAAAGGAAACGGATAATGATGAATCTGATATGCTTGTCTTTTCTTGCTTGGTCTAAGAACATGTATTTATTTCAATCATCTGTGTTCTGTGGGTCAGCAATTGATTCCTTTGTCTGTTTCTAAGAGAAGTAAAATGCGTGCCATTTATCAACTTCTTTTGTTGTTTTATTCATTTATTTATTTTGCAGAATCATTGAAAAACTCTCCATATAAAACTTAAGATCTCACAATGTTTTCTTCTGGAATTGAATTTATTAAAAAAACAGCATTTTATTACACATTGTCACATTGAGATAATATTTTTTTCAAGTAAAGAAGACTAATATTACACTTGCAGCTAAATAAAAGTACATATATTCCCCTATGCAGGGTACCAATACAATGCAAATGTTCATGGTACATTGTGAGGATTTGCAACAGTTAAAATGCACAATTTGCCTATTCTGAAGAAAACTGGTAAAATTATTTTAATAGGTCTTTAAGCATTGACATACAGAGAAGGGTTCACTCTAATAAAACAACTTAAAGTTGTACTTGGCTGTTGTAGTTACTCAGTCTATTGCACTGTACATTGAGAGTCGGACTAGTTTACAATAGCGGCGCACGGATTACAGACGGTGATTATGATGTTACGGGTCTGGCGGAGTGATCTACAGTTGTAAAGGTCCTGACAGCGGGCAGCGACAGCTAACCAGACCGTGTAAATTCATGACTGTAGTATAACACGTAGCGGTATTCTTCTCTTTTATAGTCTACAATCACGAGCAAACAAGACAAGACAATCGGGATCATGGACAGAAAAAGGTGGGACTTTCAAATGTGCGGCCGCACGAGTTGTCGAGGCGACGAGGAAATGCACGCTTGCATGCATTCATTTTGGAGTTAAACTCAGCAGCAAACAGCACGGAAAATGAGTTTTACACAGGTGCTGTTTTAGTTGGATATGTTTTTAGGGACGTTCGGGTCTATAACTCGGGGAGACAGTTCGGTTTTTAAAGAACATTAATTTGTGTTTTAGGTTTTGGGACTTTGACGTTGAGAGTGCTGCTAGCTTGATTAGCTAGCTAACTTTCATTGTTTACACACGCTTGACTTGCAGCGCGCGGCCCGGTGTCACAGCCAAACCTGTGACCCGTCTGTCTGTGACGTGTGCAGCTGCGGAGGTTGTTGCAGTTTTTCGCGACCAGATCAGGATAGTTGTTGTTTTTACCGTACTTTTTTCGGGTTCGAAGGAATGTGTCAAATTACCAAAACCGGAACGTGGAAGGTGCGCGAGATTTCGTGACATTAAAAGTTGGAAGTTATACCTCGACACACACTGGTCCTCATACCGAAGTCTCTGTTGTGTGTTTCTACTTTTTACTATCGTCGACGTTTCTAAATCGTTATATCTGATTAGCGGAGCATTAAGGTTGCTTAATAATGCCGAAATAAGTCAACTCAAAGATACATTAAAAGATACGTTGTCAGTTTTGCGCCTAACGTGCAAAGTCAGCTCAAATTTAGAAACTTTGCACATTTGCAAAGGAGTCTTTCTTTTGGTTACAGTTGCACATCTGTAGCAGTGAATAAAGCCTGTGCATAGCTCAGCTCACATACTGAAACATCTTTGTTTTGATGGATACTTGTTGATACTTTCCTCTGGAGCAGATCTTTTGTCTACCTTGTAAAGAGATTTTACACATGCTTAACAGATTCTAATTTTATGCCATTGAGCAATATGTCATGTTAAAAATATAATTGTAATGTTAGGTCAGGCAGAACACTGAGTTGACGTTTTCCCTTTTCAGTCTTCCTGTCAAGCGTATTCTCAACAAGCCACAGCTATTCCGCAGTGACCCTCGCACTGATGTACACGCCAGCCACTCCCGGACTGGATACCCACTCCAGATCAAAGCGCAGCGCAGCAGACACAAGCCTTTCTACGACACCAACCATCAGATCAGGGTGAGACAGAGTTTGGGTTTGAGCCTTACTCTAGAATTACCATATAAAGTACAGTATTTAAGCAAAATATGTTAGTTTTACATTTGCTTTACATTTGGCATAGATCTTTTTGATTAATTCACATTAAAATTGACAGTAAGTTAGCCCCAAGCTATAAATAAAGTAGTTTTTTTTTCTCCACGCAACAAAAAACACAATGAAATTGAAATAAATTAAATATTTCAAAGATCAAACATAGTTGCTTAGATTAAAGTATGATTAAGAGAAAACAACCCCCCGTCTCCCCCAAAAGAATTTAAAAAGGTTATTTATCAGACAGAGTTTTCACTTTGAACCATCGCTTATTGAAATGTGTTTTTTTTTATTATTGTTGTTACCATGTTTCTGTTATGTTTGACTTAAGCCATTCCAGTTAAAACTTTATGTTCATGTTGGGTATTTATAGATGCCGGTTCTTGCTTAAGTAATGCCGGTAAATGAGCTCAGGCTCCTTAACGTTTAAGGGACTCCAGCAAACAAAGGAGGTTGTAATTGTGGGGGGTTGACTGGCCCAATTGTTCAAGCACATGGAGAAAACTGTTCGGACAACAAATTGGATCAACAGTGTAGTTTAGCTCTCATCAGACTCTGCAACCTTCCTCCACATTGTCAGTGTCCCACGTGCCCTCTGGCAAGAAGTCATTAAGATGTCATGAGACTTTAACAGTGGCCTCACAGTGCTCGCTGCCCTGCCATTAAGCCGCGACAAATGAATTACCCTGGAAACGTTGGTCTGAGTCACATACTTGCTCGCTCATTTACTGTGACTTACATAACAGGAAACGTTTCTGGCTTTAATGTGGTGAGGGCATTTAGAATGATGCACCTAAGAATGGAATTCCTCCAGTACCAGCTAATGGTTCAGACGCTCTCTTTCAAACATTTCTGAATGAGAGAGTGTGTCTGGACCAGTAGTGTATGCGCTTGTGTTTAAAAAAAAAAAGTACATTTCAATGCCAAAAATTCCAGTTTTAGCATTTGTACCCAGTAGCTGCTACAGAGTGCATCCTGTCCTTTCTTTGGTTAACTTTGCTGCCAAATTGCTGTAACAATCCAGTGCCCCCTCTCACTCACCATAATCAAGTGAAAGATCTGTGATTAGTCACTCACTCATCCTGTTGTCCCCTACAGGCCAAGCCTGACTTAAACACAACACTACCAGTTCGACAGACGGCTTCCATCTTCAAGCAGCCAGTGACCAAGGTAACAAATCACCCCAACAACAAGGTGAAGACGGACCCTCAGAAGGCAGTAGACCAGCCAAAACAAGTAAGTCGCCGTAAAGAGAACAAATCTTCTACCCCTTATTTTTTTAGCCTTTTTTCCCACAAACTTAACAAGTGTTTTTCTTTGCCCCCCATCACCAGCTGTTCTGGGAGAGAAAGTTGAGCGGGATAAACGCATTCGATATAGCAGAGGAGCTGGTGAAGACTATGGATCTACCCAAAGGCTTACAGGGTTACAGTTAACCTTAAAAAAAATGGCTACCGAGTTCAGAGTAAGAAAGTTCCGTCAAGTTGACTGTCTTTTTTTTGTTTTGTTTTTCTTCTATTCTCCTCAGGCGTTGGGCCTGTGTGTTCAGACAAAACGTTGCTGTCTGCCATCGCCAGCGCCCTTCACACCAGCCCAGCGCCCATCACCGGGCAGCTCACTGCTGCGGTGGAGAAGAATCCTGGAGTTTGGCTCAACACGACGCAGCCGCTGTGCAAAGCCTTCGTGGTGACTGATGATGACATCAGGTAGGACGGATGGATGCCATCAGTGCACCCGGTGTTGGTAGCTTTCCCCTTCAGCAGCATTTAACTTCAGATTGATTGGCTGGTTATTTTAGTTTGTTTGGGTTTTTTGTACACCATTCTCACTGCGCATGAATGGTATGCTTTATGATTCATGTGAGCTGTATTTTCTGATCCCCTCCTTTCCGAGATTATGAATACATATTGTTTTTCTGCTTCGTCCTTCCCTCCCCCTGTTCTCCTGTGCTGGAATCAGCAGCGAAGCTGCTCCACCAGCTCCCACAGTTTGTAATTGTTATTCAGTCTGCACAAAAATACACTTCTAGTCTGAATGAAAAGTCCCGCAGCACGCTGTTCAGGCCAATTACATGTACTGTTACACCCACGGCCTCCATTACTGCTGGGATATGTGACCTACTGTTGAGCCACATCAGAGAAATAAAACTCTTGAGTTTATCTGAATGCCTTCTGCAAATGGTGTGTTCTCCTTGAATGAAAGAAGTCTTGGTATGCACATTTATGTAGCCATCAAATGGTTTGTTTTATTTTTAATTCAACCATTTTTAACGAGGATGTTCCCACATCTTTACCATTGAGCCATTTCTTAGAATCGTTTATATTAGGGGTTGTTGACTGTGTGTTTGTGTGTGTGCACCTCAGGAAGCAGGAGGACCTGGTTCAGAATGTGAGGAGACGGCTGGAGGAGGCCCTGATGGCTGATTCGCAGGCTCATATAGAGGACGCCGCTGCAGATGCAGCCCCCGACAAAGAAGAGGAGAAAGTTGAAAGGGTGGACAAGGAGGAATCATAGCTCAGGTCCACAGAAAGTCGGCATCGACTTTAACTTGTTCATTTTAACTCTGTGTGGCACGGTTCAGTGTGATGCGCGTCTCTTGTCGTTTGTCCCACAGGTTGGCTGGACACAAAGGTCACTGGTAAAGTCCGTCAGATATTCCAATACATTTGTATACACTTAAAATAAACAGACTTTAAATGCAGAGCTTGAGCTGCAGATTTTTGCTAACCTAAACAGAAGACTTTTGTCTTTCGTGTTCTATTTTTTTACACGTGGCGGTGTAGCCCTGAAAGGGTGCTTCGATATTGTTTTCATTTTACCTCTTACTAATGTACGGCAGCTTTGGATGGTGCTCAATACGGTGCAGTGTTACATTTAGCCGACGAAGGTGGAGATGCAAACATTACGTATGTGAATGTCCTGAGCGTGTGTGTTTTTTACCTGTTCTCTAAGAACTTTTTGCTTTATATTTTACCAACACTGTAGGTAGTGTGTCACACGGTGTGTTTGGAAGCTAAGAAAGCTGCAGTATTTTTGTACACGCACAGCACTCCTGTCACTCTGCATAACCAAACATTTCAAAGTTTTACATTCATATTCCTTGTAATGTTTTTTTGTCCCCTCACAATAACCTGAGTTTACAGTTTGAGTTGTGAAGTTTTGTGTTGTAAAAAGAATTGTGATTTTTTTTTTTTTTCCGCCAGCTGCATTAGATTTTGGACAGTTACAGTTAAGATAGGACAATTACACACCATGCCAAGATTTTCTCTGTCACTTTAACTGTCAAATAAATGCAGTACTTTACGGTTTGTGGTGAAGAGTGTGTCTTTTCCTTTCAATATTTTTTATTCTTCAGCAACTAAACAGAAAGACACAACGTTTTGTTCCTGCTTCATATCCATAGCCACCACTAAATGGCTCTGTTAGTGTCTGCCGATAGCTTCCAACCATTTTCAACCAATAAATCCTTAGTTTGGAATTGACATTTTATTTCCCAACTGTGACCAAAGGTTCATCTTATTTCTCTGATTTGTGTCCCGGTGTCCTCCGTCCACCAAACAGTGACCCAGAAATCGCTCTCAGCAGAAGGTCTCCGATGTCTTAAAATACACACAGTGGAGCAAAGAGGCTGCAGAAGAAGCTTTGAGGCGGAATGAGTTTTCAGCACGTAAAGAGAAGGGGGAACTAGATATATGCAAACACTTTTTACGACTGATCTGTCTGATTAAATACCAGCAGGAAGCTGTAATAAAATAATAGACAGGTGATGGCACTCCCCAAAAGGTGTATAATACCCCTTTTAAAATGAGGGAATATGAGCAAGCAAGCAATATTCAACTGAAATAGCTATTATTTGCTCTCTTCTATTATTTTTTTTGTTCTTCAACTCTCAGCTCCAGAGCAGAGCTAGATCCGAGGAGAGGTATCACGGATGTACATTGCTGAATTGGTTAAATAGCAGGTCTTTCTGTGTGAGCAGATAAAACAATAGTGGACATGCTCTTATAATGAGGGCTGACGAGAGACATAAGGTCTGTACAACGCCCTCTGCTGATGGTGCATCATCAGCTGCAATTGTTCAGCTCAGAACTGGTGGAAACATGGACTGAGATGATTTATAACGCCATGGCTCTGAAAATCCTGACTGGAATGGATTCATGAACCATATCCGATATAAGGAACTGTACACTGAACTGTTATCCGTGTCTGCTTTTGGTTGGGGTCCTTTCAGGACACTGTTGAGGGAAACAAAACAAAGATGTGCTACCAAAATGAATGATTTATTGAAAGGTTCTCTACATGTGTAGTATATGTAGAGGGAACATGAAGATGGATCAAATATGCTTTTAGTGTAAATAAGAAAAACAACATAATTATTTTTCAGAAACACCTTTACCATTTATACATTGCACGTTGAATGATAGAATGTGAAGCTGTGACTCTTCATAGATAATATAAAATAACCTAAAGAGCACAGGCAATAACACAGAGTATATGAGCATCCCTCTGAGATGTTGTTGGACCACCCCAAACACCCCATTGGTAGCCATGATGAACACACCCAGTCCATGACCACATTTTCTTCCTTTCTCCATCTCTGGGTTACAGGATAAAAAAAAAACAACAACATTTATTTAATTTTTTTTTAAAGTAATATCAGTGCCGTGGAGTCTGACAGACACAACGGACGTGTGCTGTAATTGAGCACTCTCTGCTGTCCGCTTGCTCCCTGTGGCCTTTGAACCCATTGTTGTGTCGCGGGTGACGTCAGTGCCGTGTGCGGGAGACGGAGCGGCGTGCGCCTGGCTAGACAAAGGCGGCGGACCGACCGGGGTCAGGCAGCAGCGGAGAGCCGAGAATCACTGTTTTTATAACTAAAAGGGAACTCCCAGCCTTTTGGTTCTAAGCCACGGTCTCGTTGACGGTACGAAGAATGAAGACTCAGCGCACGTCCTAGGAGTATGCTTTGACTCGCCGGGAAGAGGGAGAAAAAAAAACAACAGTGCCCTATTTTCGATTTTTAACGTTTTTTTTCTCCAACGCCCCCATTTAGCTTTGCTAGGTGGCTAACGCGCTAGCTCCTAGCGCTGCACCGCACAGCGTTGCTCTCGTCCTCCCGGCTGCTTCACGTCTCTCCCCTCAAGAGCCGGACGACAAGGCGGAGAAAGGACCTCAAACGCCAGATAAAGTAAGTTCGTGTGGTTTCCGGGCTTGTTTAATTTTAAAAAACAACACGGGTGCTTTTGAAAATGAGCACAAGTTCGACTGTCAGAGCAGAGCTTACAGCTAGCCGCGGTGCTCCCAAACAAAGGGGTCGACAACGTGACTGAGTGCCGACTGTGTGGAGCTAGCCCGCTAGCTTTCTTGTTGAAGCCAATAACAGCTATTATTCTTAGTTTTTTTATTTATTAAGGGGTTCTATAGGGTTTCCGCGTATGCAAATGGTGGAAGTCGTCTCGGCCAGTCTTTATTTCATGTGCTCTGGGTAACGCTTGATTCAGCTGTGCTGGGGCAGACAAAACAGTCTGCCTGCTGGATGGCTTCAGTTGTCAGACAAGGAGCAACAACAGACAAAGCAAGGAGCTCTGATCAACATCATTATGCATGCTGCTGCTGATGAGTGGCCCGTGTTGTTTGTTGTTGCTCGATATCCGCTCGTGTTATTGGTCTAAAACCAACCGTTTATTGTTGGATTTTTCCCTCTTTTATTCCAGCTGAGTGTGAGCACACTCCCAAACAAACGGGCAGCCGTGATCTGATGTGAGATCCACGGAGAAACTATGCCTAGCCCTTTATTCCACCCCGAGATTATGGACCACGATGTGGTGATCAGCAGCCAGCACAATGGCGTCGGGCTGCCCCGGGAGACGGACCAGGAGTCCCGGGATGAGGACCACCAGGAGGTGCTCCGCTTCGCCCTGGACCAGCTGTCACTCATGGCTCTGGAGAAGGTGGACTGTGGGGGCGGAGGCACCGGGGGCGGCGGGCTTGTGGACACCCTGGACGGGAACCAGGGTCCCGGATCCGACGGCTGCAACGGCGTGGGCGGAGGGGGCTACATGGACCTCCAGATGATGGAGCACCCCGGCGGCTCCCGGGACTCCCCCGCGTCCTGCTCCCCGTCCCCGGAGTATTACGGCTCTGGCGGGTACCACATGGCCGGCTCACACCCCATGCTCCACGGGGAACAAAGCTCCGTCCTCTCCAACAGGAAAAGAAGCGTCAACATGACTGAATGTGTACCTGTGCCCAGCTCCGAGCATGTGGCCGAAATAGTGGGGAGACAAGGTAAGAGTGTATGTGTGGATGTATGTGTGTGTGTGATGCTGATGTGACTAATTATTATCGGCGTTTGTGTTTGTGCACGGCTTGTTTGGGTTGCGTGCAGCCAGGTTGCTCTTTGTTTGGGTGGCTGGCTGATGAGAGGAGGCTTTCTGAACTTTAACTGTCTGGGCACGGTGCTCCGGTTGGGACTGCGCTCACAGTCCGGGGCTTTAATGGGAGCATAATGCGGATACTCGGAGGGGAAAAAAGGCTCACCTCCAGTTTTCACGTGCCCCCCTTTTTCTTTTCTCTTAATCGCTATTTAGACAATACCCAGATATAGAGTTGGAGAGTGGGGGTGGATGATGAGTAGGATTGAGGGGGGGGAGGGGTGGAAGAGGGTCAGACAAAGCGGCAGATTGTCGGGAGTCTGGACATGTCTAGGAGGCTGCACCAAACAAAGGGGATGTGGGGAAAACAGGCTCTGCGTCCGGCTGGCGGTGTCCGAAGCGCCCCGCTCGGACGCAGAGCCCGCTGCCCAGAGGCACGGCCGCGTCCCCGGCCTGCCTTTTTTTTTTTTTTTTGTCGTGGTTTGTGGAGAAGCGGCGGACAGAAACGGGGCAGCAGGCGCACAGACACGGGACTGGGCGGTGTTCCGCCCTGCACCCACCGCTGTCTGCCGATGCTGCTGCTGCTCACGTACGAGCCGCCACGTTTCACACGGCCACATTTTTTTTTATCCTTCTCCCCCCCTCCATCCTCCCTCCCGCTGGTTTATCTCGACGTTTGACCCACTCCCGAGGAGCACTCGGGTTCGGGGGTTCGTTTTTGCGCGGCGGCGTTACGGCATTGTTCCCTTTGTTTGAAAAGCCATGCTTTCTGCTTCCCAGAATGACATCACGCTCCGTGGCTCCTATTGGTCGCCGACAGTGAACCGTTCTCATTTAAAGGCACAGTGCTGCCGGGATGCTGTGTGTGTGTGTGTGTGTTAGTGTTAGGGGGGGTGACACAGGCGGTGCAGCAGCAGCCCGTCTTTATGTTTAACCTCCCGGATCCCCAGCATCCCTCCCGCAGCGGCCCCACAGATGTGCTCCCTTTAAAAGAGGAGAGCGCATTAGCTAACAAAAGCCTGAGCTGATGTTGATCCCTTATCCATCTTCTCTGACAAAAGATAACATCTGGATAAGGTGAACGGCGGTATCGACACCGTTCCTGTTGTTGGAATCAACGTTGTTATATTAGTCTGTAATTAATGTTAGAATGATAGGGAAAATTTTTTAGACCCTATTGAGTAAACTTCTATTGTGATATTTTGAGCTGGCTTTGGAACGGGTGGTGTTTAGAATAATTTGTCTACAAGTTTGAATGTTTTTTTAATTGTTTTTTGTAATATCCAGAATTTACATAATTGTACAAATGATGTTCTTCAAATATTAATTGTTCACATTTGGCTCAGAGTGAGAACTGGCTGTGTTGTTTTGATCCATGACCCAGATCTCAGTCGGTGCTAATCGAACAGTAGTAGGTTAAATAGAATTGGGAGCAAAATAAACAGCTGGTGCCCATAAGAAGAAGAAGCAGGCGCAAAGGCTTGAAAAGCAAAATACTTTGTATTATTACATTCGTTTTTGTTTTATCAACCTATTTTTATGCGGAGACAGGAAGTTATCGAGTAAAATTATGACGGCTAAAATAACAGGACTGTGTGATTACGTGCTAATTGTTGAGTTTAGCAAAAAAAGAAACCTGTTTTTTATGTGGTTAAAAAGACTTAGGTGATGTTCTTTACTCTAAACTTACAAATGTATACTTAATGACTGTGCTTCTCATCCTTTCAGGCTGTAAGATAAAGGCCTTGCGTGCTAAAACCAACACCTACATAAAGACTCCGGTCAGAGGAGAAGACCCCGTGTTCATCGTTACCGGGCGCAGGGAGGACGTGGAGATGGCCAAACGGGAGATCGTGTCTGCGGCGGAGCACTTCTCCATGATCCGGGCGTCCCGCTGCAAAGCCGGAGGAGGGGGGGGCTCCCTCCCCGGCCCCCCGCACCTGCCGGGACAGACCACCATACAGGTACGGAGACCTCCGTACAGCCAGTTCCAGCCGGCGGCCTGAGCGTCTTGACAAAACTGAGACGTGTCTTTTTCCTCCATCCAGGTCAGAGTACCGTACCGGGTGGTCGGCTTAGTTGTGGGACCGAAGGGAGCAACCATCAAGCGCATCCAGCAGCAGACCCACACCTACATCGTGACGCCCAGCCGGGAGAAAGACCCGGTGTTCGAGGTGACCGGGATGCCGGAGAATGTGGACCGGGCGCGAGAGGAGATCGAAACCCACATCACCCTGCGGACCGGGACCTTCGTAGACCTGCAGGGCGACAACGACTTCCACACGAACGGCACCGACGTCAGCCTGGAGGGCCTGGGCTCCCTGAGCGCGGGGCTGGGCGCATCCCTGTGGTCCCGCGCCACCGGCCACCACCCGGTCCCGCCCCCTCCCCCGCCCTCCCCGCCGCCGCCGGCCCTCCCCATGTCCATGCACCACTCCTCCGGCCGCAAGGTGTCCTCCTCGGCGGCCTACCACCCGCATAGCGGCGGGATGAGCTCGGACGGCTTTGTCGCGGGCCGGAAAGCGCCGGAGGGCGGCAGCCCCACCAGCCCCTTCAGCACGGGCTCCAGCAGCGCCGGCGGCGGCGGCTTCACGTTCGGGGGCGACTCCACCCCGGGGCTGCCCCCCTCAGACGAGCTGGGCTTCGAGTTCAGCGCGTCCAACATCTGGGCGCCCTTTGTGAACGGCGGCGCCGGCGGCAAAGCGCCCAGCTCCAGCCAGCAGCAGCAGCCCCTGCGCCGCAACAGCAGCGGGCTGAGCGGCGGTGCCATCACCCCCCGCCTGTCCCCCACCCTCCCTCAGGACACGGGCGTGGGCCCGCTGGACCACCCGCTGGCCCGCCGCGCGCAGAGCGACCCCCTCAGCACGCTCTCCTGGCTGCAGTCCGGCAGCGCCGGCGGCGGCGGGTCCTTCTCCGGCGCGTCCAGCTCCAGCTCCGGCGGCTCCTCCACGGGCTACTCCTCCTGCTCGGCCTCCTCGCTGCCCGGCGGCTCGCCCACCGACTCGGAGGGCGGCGGCAGCGGCGTGGCGCTCAGCTCGGGCATGCTGAGCCGCCTGAAGGGCTCGGGCCCCGGCGTGGCGGGCCTGGTGGGCGTCGGCCCCGGGGTCAACAGGGACTGCTTCGTGTGCTTTGAGAGCGAGGTGACCGCCGCCCTGGTGCCCTGCGGCCACAACCTGTTCTGCATGGAGTGCGCCGGGCAGATCTGCCAGTCGGCCGAACCCGAGTGCCCCGTCTGCCACACCCCCACCACACAGTGCATCCGCATCTTCTCCTAATGCCCCGGGCACCGGGGTGTGCGCGTGAGTGGGGGGGCTTAAATATATGGGTCGAGGGGGGGGCGAGGATATTGGAGTCGGACACCAGCTACAGAGGAGCTGAGAAGAATACACACTAATAACCTTCACACAGATGATGGACCATAATAAATGCATTAATAGAGATGATGATACTATTCGGATGTTGATATATTGCCGATACCGTCAAGATTAATAATAACAATAATAATAATAACAATGACAATGACTTACTTTCTGAGGAACGTGGATTGAACCCGGCCCTCCGGCCGCGGGGCTCGGACGGCCCCCCGTTTGCGGACTCTTGGAAAGAAACTAGTGTCTTATCTCTCTTCAGGCCTTCATTTGTACCCGCCGGTTCTGCCGGTCCGTCTCCACACATCTCCATCCGGGCTTCTTCAGATTTCTGCCTGCTTTCTCTGTCCCACAGCCTTTCCTTTTGACACTTTTGTACTTAACAGATATTTTTTGATGAAGCCGTCGACGAGGCCTGCACTTTTTCTACTCCTAATTTTAATCGTCTCGACCCGTTCCAACAAAAAAAACAAAAACAACCTTTCTCTCTCTCTCCCCGGGCC